ATGGTCAAGAGAAGAGGAAAGCACCAAATAACATAATTCTATGTTCAAAAAATCCAGTTTTTTGTTGATGACCCAAGTAATCTCTTAAAGTTCCAAGTTCTAAAGCAGCATAAGGCCATAAAAGCATACATATACAAAAGTTTGAAAGTAAACAATACAACTCACTCCCCTAGGCTGGTGCTCATAGTTATCACCCTAGAGGCATAAATACTTTATGTAATTTATCGATTATGTTAGTGTTATTTATGAGGATATTAACAAGGAGGAAGAGACTCTTGTTGATGTTTGTCAAGAGGCAAGGATGCCAACTCACTGAGGTTTAGAGTACACTAATAGGTGAAGATTTTTCATCAAGGATTTCTTAATTCACATAACCTTTAATATATAAATCAATTTTGTGTTGATGATTAGCATTGGTATGTCAAGCATGTAAGGACTATGGTATCATAGAATAGAAGTCATCATCATATATTTAAGTTTAATATAGTTGGTTATGGAAGTTATTGATCTCAGGATCAAGTGAAAATTATGGGCCATACTTTTTCGTGATAGAAGAACTACTTCTTTCAATAATTTGATCACACTTTATTTATCAAAAAATTTGAAGAGGTCAATCATAAACTGACTACTAGAGATTAGATATAGGACTTTATCTTTGGATGCGTATGTCCACAAGTTCCATTATCTTTACCTTAGTCTTATAAGACAATGTTTTATTAAAGATTTAAGTTTGTTTTATCAAAGATTTGAGCTTAATGAATATGTAATTAATGCTATCACTAATGCTTAGGTTTTTTTGCTAAAACCACTATCAACTCTAAAGAATGAAGCTAAGAAGCTTCATTCAAACAAAGAAAAGCATAAAACAAAGGCCAAAAGGCCAAACATCATAGCAAGAATTATCTTCTTGTGAAAGGGTCAAAGAATGTTAAAGTGAATGTGGTGGAATTTATCATAGCTTAGAAGTCAGCTCTTCTATGTCCCATGACAAAACTTAAAAAACTTAAGTCTTAAATTTGAATCATCTTTATGAAGCTTAATATGTTATGAAGGCCAAGAGGGACATTCAAAGTAATAAAGTTAACATTTATTTTTATCCAAATGCCACATATAGTTTCTTGAGTTCCAAGGTGTTAAAGAAACTTAGATTTCCTATAAAAAAAGATCTTGGTGATTTACATGGCAAATAAACATAATACTCATATTTATAATGAATGAGCTTTGAGTATTCCTTTGACAGTTTAAGCATTTTTCAACCATCCTTTGTTATAAGTTATAGATTTTAGTTACATAGATATCATTTTTGGGAGATAATAGTTTTATGATGGAAAGCTAGGGATTTATTTGGAGCATAATATTTTGTATATTAAAGTTTGTAGCACTATAAAGAAGATTATCAAAACAAATAGTGGTGAAACTCTTTTTATTAATGTTTTGGAGTTGGTGAAGTGCACACATAAAATAGTTAGTTCTTTCATAGTGCATCTATTTCTTTCTAATATAATCATGTTTCATTTGGAGTATATTCATGAATATGAGGATCAAATGAATTATAATTAGAAGGAGTTCCATAACATATTTCCAGGCGAGTTGCTTGATGGTTTACCCTCAAAACATGATATTCAATATGAGATTGATTTAGTTTTTGGAGGTACTCTTTATTATTAACAATTGACTCATACTAGTCCCACTAAAAAGGAGGAGATCAATAGGCAAATTGTTGAGTATCTTCAGAAGAAGTGGTTGCAAATAAACAAGTCTTCTTGAGTTACTCCAATGGTAATGGTAAAAAAGAAAGATGGTACATGGCATTTCTATGTGAATTACAAGAGATTAAATGATAAGATAGTGAAGAATATATTATTTTATATCAAAGATTTATTCAATTGTATTTGTGGTGCTTGATATTTTCTAAAGATTGATTTAAGACAAGGGTATCATTAGATATATGTTAAGCTGGAGGATGTTCTACAGACAACATCTTAGATGAGGATGAATCACTACAAGTTTTTGGTAATACCATTTAGTTTAATAAATGTTTCTACAATATTTCAAAGGTTGATGAGATAAATTTTACAATCTTACTTAAGACAATGAGTTAAAGAGTTGTATGTTGTAACCATTGTTGTAAAGGAATAGTAATATTATTTGTATAGATCTAATGAAGAAATAAATGTTTTATCTCATATATCTTCCCAGATAGGGCAAAAGAAGAAAGCTTAGGTGAAATGAAGTTACATCTAAGATTAAGCATCAAAAGAAAAAAGACCCAACCTAAGAAACTGTACCGCACATGAATTTGGAGCCAAACTCTAAACCCGTTACGCTATGAAACAAGGGTCCGGTACAATCCTACAAACACCAGCTTTCTGTATCCAACACCTGCACGTAAAATGGTGTTAGATAATGTCTGGCACAATTTTAGTATACCAGTGGCCTAACGCAAGGAGGAGGGTACCCCACCAACTAGAGAAGTGTGGAGTTTGGGCTTAGACTTAAGCTAAACGCAAAACAAGTAGCGACACAGCCTAGCGGGAGCTAAATTAATGTCTTAAGTGGTTAGACATGCATTCCAACCATTATCCCTACTATACATTTGAAACCCCCTCCCCCCCTTAAGGAACACACGCTTTAGGCTTTCACCTCAAGCCTCTTTTAGTACCAGGACTTAGGACAATCTCAAAACTTAATATGAAATATCCTTAGATTGTGAATTTGGACATGGGATGAACACCATTGTGTTCAAGATAAACTCAACATTTCGTAGATATACCAAATGAGCAAATCTAGACACTTTTCATAAATAACATTTAGGACTGAAATGAGACTAACACAAGGGCATTATAGCGAGGGTGTTTAGCAAGCACAGTAAGTTATCATGTAGCGATATTGAGAGACTAGACTTAATACACAAGGGTTCTTGCCAAGCTAATGCAAGACAGAGCAAAAGAAAACTAAGAGTCAGGCCCAGAATGCTTAGTTAGAAACATATAAGAGTTCCTACCTTACATTCATTTAGCTAAGTACAGGTGCTAAGCCTAGTTAATTAACACTTGGATAAGAGGGGCTACTATAGGAAACCAATAGTACTAACTTCCTGTTGTCATGGCAGTAAGGAAAAAGTATCTGTAAAGACTGTTCGAAAAGTATCTTTTGATACCCAAAGTCACATTCACAAGAGAAACACTCATTATATACAAGCATGAAATAATTATGAACGGTTATAAAATCATGTAGTATATAAATAACACTTAAATGTGTTGTAAAACAACCCCATTCATTATTATATGCATTTGTATTGAATTAACCATTTTTTCTTCCACCTATAAACATTAGTGTAAAGTAGAGTTAAGAAAGTGATATATGCTTATCCTTACTCATGCTTTCCACCACGGAGCTACTACTCATAGTAAGCTCCCGAGCAGGATAACTTATGTTTGTATTCTTGATGCGTGTATTTTTGGCAGTTGGGGTTCTAGATTAAATTCTCTTCTATTCTCTTTTTATTCTTCTTTTTTTCTCTACATTCTTGTCTCTATTTGTTTGTCACTATTTTGCAAGCAGGGGCAAGAACGTGAGTATAGGTAAAAAAACCTTACTCATTTTTGGTAACCATAGGGAGATAAGCTATCACTCTTTGGCTTGAAAAATAATTGGGAGAAAATTGCTTGTAAGTTCCAAATATGCCTAGCACTAAGAATCACAAATAGAACTCTTTAATGATTGCAAAGACCTTAAGCTTAGATAACATTGAATAAATGAGCTCTTTTTGCAATTGCAATGGCTTAGTGCTCAGACAACGCAAAAAAAATAGTTTTTCAACCATCACCTATATGGGATGAGTTTGAAATTAGAATTCAACATAATTGATCAGTAATGTGACTTTTCTTACAAATTTGTGCCTTTGGTTTGATAATGGTTATAATAGAAATACAAACCAAATAACAAAAGTAGCTCTAAAACTGATAACAAATTAAGCTATAAACTACAAACGAAATTGTGAAATATCATTCATGCCTATCATACATTTTTTGGTGACTAAGCAGATATGCCAGGGTCGTTAGATGTCCTTGACATGAAGAGAACCCGTTCTATAAATTTTGGAAGTTGAATTTGGGTATATATGCTGATTCGAATCTTTTGGTCTTTTTCCCATCCATAATTTTAAATCCAGGTCAGACTTATGCGTCAATTGAGCCTTGCTTATATACCTACATCAGTCATCGTTCTCCTAGCTATGACATCCCGGAAGATAGTTCCACTTATGAGGTAAGTACAGGAGTGGGGTAGAGATAACTCCCTAATGCTGGCTCCACACTGCTTTCTATCATCTTGTAAGTTCTTATGGAGATCAAGGAGGTGGATGATTTTGGGCAGCGGCAGGGGGATTTGAGAGTTGTGCCTAGATAAAAAATTTCAGTATTACTTCCAGCCGGCAACAATTCCATTTGCAAGGTATTTCAACTTAATTTGATAGCGGTGCGGTCTTGGTTTTATAAGTATTAGTGCTGCCACTTGCTCTCCTGGATGTCTGGGTGCGACCCTCCAAGTAAATCCATAACGTACAATGAGAAGATATCAGCTGAGATCCTGGCGTTTGCTACTCAAGTTGGAAATTCCATTCGCTCCTACGAATTTTCTCTTCAACTTCATGATCACAAGCCCAACAATTGACAACACTTGGACAGAAACAGAAATCATCACCTTTGATGGCAAGGTTCAGACATTCTCAAGGTTGATTCCATTTTCCCATATTGTAAACTAACTCCAGAGCGTCACGCCTTTTTAGAGCACAAACCATGTCAGTTTTATTGTTAATAACAAAGCTTACCATACAGTCAATGTATATTGACGATTGGGACACCAACTTTCCACATGGAAGTGTCAATGTAGCTTAGCAAAGCATAAGGACCTGGCTATGCTTTATAATCCCTTAAATGGTTAACAAAGAGAGAAAAAAAGAAAGAGGATCAAGAAAGATGAAGCTATTCATGTGGGTGATGATAGTAGCCATAGCATTTCTCCTAGTTCATAGTTCTAGTCCCCCGAAGAGGCCACCTTCAATGCTTTTCTACTTCCACAGCACTGTCCTCAACGAAACCCATCCAGATGCGAACACCGCCCAGGTAGTCGCGGCCCCGCGTTCCAATCTCACTGTCCTGGGCTATGGAACCATGGTTGTTTTCGACGATCCGCTCACTATGGATTACTCCCCTGACTCCACACCTGTTGGAAGAGCACAAGGATTTTACGTCTACGACCAACTGACAAAAGAGTCGGTCAGTGCAATTTTTGTTTTCACAGCGCTCTTCAACCAGGAGGATGGCTTCAACGGGACTCTAAACTTCGTGGGCGCTGATCCTGTGTTGTCGCCGTACAGGGACATATCTGTTGTGGGTGGTACGGGTGACTCTGAGCTGGCCAGAGGAATCGCGAGGCTTTCGACTCAATCCATTTCTGGCGTTACCTTTGTTCTCAAAGTCGTGGTCACCTTGTTCTACTTTTGACATATAATAATATTATTGTCACTCGATCAGCCAACTACTAAATTTGATATCATTATATTACTATTATTAAATAATTATTATCAACGTTTTTATATTATTATTATTATTGTTATTATTCCTCCTCCGCATATCTCAAATAATTTGTGAATTTGAAACTATCTTTTCCCAAAGAAATAAAGCTTGATTATTCAAAGTCAAAGATTCGAGATTCTCTTTTTGACCGTTTGACCCGAATATCTTGGGTATCTGGAGTTAGGGTTTTTCTGTGTGGATCCATGGCGGAGGAGCTGGTGCTCGACTCGGCGATCCGCGACTGGGTGCTGGTGCCGCTGTCGCTGGTGATGGTTCTCATCGGCGTGCTGCGCCACTTCGTCTCCAAGTGTATGTCCTCGCAGCCGGAGCCCGACGCCAAGGCTCTCAAAGAATCGTGAGTTTTTTTTTCTTTGTTTCGGCCGAGCTTCTTCTTCTCATCTCGCTCTTGTAACTTCCTTCAAGGCAAATTGTTCTTCGCGCCAGGTACCTGAGAGCGGCTGCGAATTACATTCCTGCCAAGTCTTTCCGGATGAGAAAATCCTACTTCAACAACGAGGTAGGCGAGAAAAAGAAAAATGCTACTTTTCTTTGCGGTCAAGAAGAAAGAAAGCTGATGCTGTATTTTCTCTTGTGCCAGGAAAATGGGCTGTTACATGTTCCAAAGGGCCAGGGCCAGAACGTCCAGGCTCAAATGCTTTCGGACCCAAACATGGCAATGGACATGATGAAGAAGAACTTGTCCATGATCATTCCTCAGGTTTGGCGTTCCAAAATCTTGTCTCGGTCTCGAGCCAACTTTTCGGGCGTTTCTTTTGCAGACTTTAACCTTTGCGTGGGTGAACTTCTTCTTCTCCGGATTTGTCACCGGTAATACTTTTTATACAAGCCTTTCTTCTTTACGTGCATCGTTTGCCTGCAGCCAAAATTCCTTTCCCGCTCACGCAAAGATTCCGAGGGATGTTGCAAAATGGAATCGACTTGAGCTCGGTGGATGTGAGCTATGTCAGCAGCCGTTCATGGTAAGCTGCTAGCAAGGTTAAGTTTCATGCTCGGTGTGTATCGACAGGTATTTCTTAAATCTTTTCGGGTTGAGAGGCCTCTTCAGCTTGATCCTCGGAGAAGACAATGGTGAGATTACGTCTTTCGTGCTCGCATTCTAAGTCTTTTGGTCGTTTGGTGCTCGACTTGCAGCCACCGATGATACCCAGAAGCTGATGCAAACGCAAATGGCGATGCAAATGGGCGGGTTTGGAGCCGATCCTGCAAAGGTGAGAAGCTTTCTAAGATTTCACAAGGAAAGCTCAACCTTTTTCATGGAACAGGCCCTTGGAGCTGAGAAAGAAGGTCTCGACTTAGTCCAGCACGAGTGGCTTCTCCCCCAGATCGAGCAGCGAGCAGCAGCAGTGTTGAGCCAGATTCTCGCGTAACTCGCTCGATCACAAAAAAAAAGAAAAACAGAGAAGAGAAGAGACCATTTTCGAAGTAGGCTGCTCACGCAATACTTGCTCTCGACAACAACCAAAAACTTACAAGAAAAAAGAGAGAGAGAAACAAAGGATAAAAGGAATTTATTTTTAGCAAAGTTCTATCGCTCCATCTTCCAAGGTGTTATAAAAGGCGTGCCCAATGATTTGGAGCTGGAACCCAGATTTTTAGGGCAGAGGGGAGCGAGCGATGGGGATGCTCAAGCTCATCCTCGCGGATGCCGCCATCTCCTTCTTGTGGGTGTTTTGCACGTCGTGCATCGGCGCCGCGACCGAGATTATCGCGTCGTGCGCGGGCGTGGAGGGCGATCGCAAGTTTTACATCGTCTTTGGCCTCATCGCGCTGCTCATCATCGTCTTCTCGGCTCTGGCCCAGGCGATTGGAGGCGCGAGCTGGAATCCAACCGCGGTGCTCGCCTTCTCGGGCGTGGGAGTGGGCGATTCAATCTTCAATCTGGCGCTCCGGATCCCCGCGCAGGTACTCTTTTTTTCTTCTTAGCGTTTGATAAGTTAGTGTTCTTCCCAAAGTTCCCTTTTTTTCTTTCTTCCGAAGGAAAGGTTGTGATGGATCGATCTCCTTTGTTGTTTGCTTCTAGGCTGTGGGATCTGCCGCTGGAGCTCTGGCGATTTTCGAGCTGATGCCGTCGAGTTTCAAGGGAACTCTAGGGGGGCCGAGCCTCAAGGTGGATTTGCGAACGGGGGCGATCGCCGAGGGGCTGCTCTCGTTCATAATGTCGTTCGTGGTTTTGTGGGCGGTGTTGCGAGGCCCCAGGAACGCTGCTCTCAAGTCAGGGATCATCATCTCCACCACCATCGCGCTCATCGTGCTGGGCTCGGGATACACTGGCCCAGCCATGAATCCTGCCAATGTAAGTCGAGAAAAATCCTCCTTTTCCTCCTCCTCGGCTTGATTTGTTTGGTTTGTTTGATTCCTTCCAGGCGTTTGCGTGGGCGTACGTGAACAAGAGCCACAACACCAACGAGCACTTGTATGTTTACTGGCTAACTCCATTGCTGGGCTCGCTGGCCGCGTCCATGGTTTTCAAGCGGATGTTCGCTCTCGGGCAAAACAAAGAGAAGACGGCCTAGATAACAAAACTGGCCATCTTTCTTTCTCTCTCACACATCCATTTATTATTATACTCTCAATTTACTTCCTCAATCCAAATCACGATTCTTTATGTAAATTAAAAGCGCCTGAAAAAAAAAGAAGATTACAAAGAAGACCTACGCAATTTACATTGTACGCTTTCATCAGATGCCATGACAAGCGAAGAAGGAAACGATCTTATTTTCACCTTCGCTTATTGAGAAAGAAGAGAGAGAGAGAGAGAGAGAGAGAGAGAGAGGAAAAAAAACGAGACCCTGATCATCAAGCAAATCCAAAGCCTTCCGCAATGTGATCGGCCGTGATCGCGTAGAGGCTTCTGTGCATCACGTCAAAGCTCGAGTAAGGCGGCAGTATCAACTGGTAGAAGCAAGTGTGAGCCGTCGGCAACCAAGTCACGTTGGTGAGCGACTTGTGGATGTGGAACTTCGACGTCAAGCCTGCGAATCCCTCCGGCGGTAAATGCGTCACCGACGTTGCGAAGAACAGCAGCTTTCTCCGTCTCTCGGGGGACATCTCTTCTACCACCTGAGAGAAAGCGATAAGAGTTTGCAAAGAACAAAGAGAAGAAGGAAGAGCAAAAGAAAGCATACCTCCCAAAACCATCGAGCTTGCTCGTCCGAGGCGGTGTAATCGTGGTACTCGGTGTGCTGCTTCCAGTCTTCCACTGAGATCTCACGATCTTTGCCGTAGAGCATCAGGTCCAGATCCTCGAGATCCAGCGGGCGAAGAAACTGGTGGATGGAGGTGTTGGACAGCAAGTCGGAGAAGCCTTGAGAGAACCACTTGACTTGATCTGCTACTGCGGCCACGAGACGCCTCTGGACCATGAGATCCACAAAGTGACGCCGGTTCGTGCTGGTGACTGCCATATCCTTCCCGCCGGGACAAAGCTCCAGCACCTTTCGTGATCCCAGGAGTTCCATCTCGGTTACGAACGTGAGGCCCAGCGTGTCCGAGTCGATGCTGTCCGGGTCCATTTCTAGGATGTTTTTGCAGCTCGCGTACAGTGCCGGGTCCGCGTCTCTCGAGTCTTCCCAGGTTATGGGAAGGCCAGCCAGCTGCTTGAAGAAGAAGAGAGCAAAGGTGACGTCTACCTGGACTCTGTGCATCATAGCCAGCGCTATAACTCGTCCACAGAATTTGAAGTACGTGAGATGTCCAGGATTGACTCCGGAAGCTGCAAGAGAAGAGAGGAGTTTAAAAGAGAGTTCACAAAAGCAAAGAAAAAACAAAGAAGAGTATACGTACCTGGATTTGGGTAGAACCTTCTTCTGTCGTTGGGACACGGCAGAAACAACGCAAACTGAGGATTGAAGATCTCCTTGCAAACCATGAAGAACCACTCTCTCAAAACACCCGGCCCTGTCGCTTCCTCTGAGGAAAACTCCACCGAAAGGCCACCCTGTATGTTCTCCGCTTCCACGTAAACCAGTTGCTCGAGTGACTCCGTCAGGAGCTGCGAACGCTGGATAACAATCTCCTGGCGTTCCTCGTGGTCGTCCTGCGGCTCCGGTAGCATAGCCATGACGAGCCGCTTCTTCGAGTCAAACTCTAAAAAGCGCTTGTACTCAAGCAGCCAAAAGTCGTGATCTTGCCACCGTGACTGACTAACCAGCACATTCAAGGCCAAGCGTTGGCTTCGCAGCAGCGACAAGAGCTTCATCGACGAGATATCGGAGAGTTTCGCCACGGCATGGAGCCCCTTGAGCACGAACAAGAATGGAGCACGAGCAAACGGCCTCTCCTCAACCCCTTGTGTGCTTCTCGGCCCTCCCTCTTGAAACTTTTCGTGCTGCCAGAGTACCGTGACCAAGCACTTGTCCAGCTCCACCAGCAGCCTATGGAAAATACTATCCAGCCACCCCGCTGTTCCCACTTGCTGTGCCTGTGCCTGTGCCTGAGTTGTCTCATCACTGCATCCCAGTCTCAACTCCAAGTAATCCATGGAACTATTTCCCGGATCTTCCGAGTCGACCACCTTGCACACTGCCATCGACTTGCAGATGTGCGTGATGAAAGCGGTGAAGTCCTTGGCCTCTTTGATATACGACGAGAACTCTTGGCCTGGAAAGCTACGATAGTCCTGTAGACGAGTTAACAAGCTCTCGGCCAGTTCGTTAGCAAACGGGGAAAAGTCACTCACAATGGTCTCGGCCTTCACCTCATGGAAAAACGGATTGCCGTGAGCGGCATCACTGCCATCCAGCAGCCGGGCCAGCGCACTCCGGCACGAGCGATACAGTGGGTGGCTTGGAGCACTCTTTGACAGGAGCTTGCAAAAGTCGAGAAGAACCGGCGCCGAGTGGCAATGCAAGTGAACCGGCAAGTAGTCATCGTTGCCAGTCAGGAAGAACTTGATAGACTCCTCGGCGCAGATTCTGTTGGACTCCACCGGCGAGAGGAGCAGCATGACGAGAGCGGACGTTGCTCCAGACAGCTGAAACACCTGCATGTGTTCTAGCACCGGTACTGACTTGGATGTCATCTTCAAAAACTCCTGGACCCCCGTTCTCACGCTATCCTGGCACTGCGTCAACTTTGATCCTAGTCTGCTAACTTCGTCCCCGGACAAGCCATACATCTTCCGGATCGTCGCCACCAAGTCGTTGATAAGCTGCCAAGAGTGAGGAAGCGCCGTGCTGCGCATCCGCGCCACGAGATGGAGCGTCGCATCGTTGGTGACATGACAAGTCTCCAGTGACTGATCGTGCTGGAGCTGGCGGCCACCAAAAATCAGCCTTTGCTCGAGAAGAGGCAGGCCTGTCCGGACAAGGATCTGCTGGTGGACCGACTCGATCGTGTCCGACGCTGTCGCGTGAAGAACAATCGTCTTGCCATCAATGTACGTCTTGACAAAGAACTGGAGATGTGACGAGGAACTCGGGCACGAAACGCCCCTGTCCACCTCCATCGCCACAGTCTCAGCTTTGTCTCCATCGGTGCTAGGACCTGGATCAATCCCACCATCTCCTCCCTCTCCTTCCTTTCCAAATCCTTTGCTGCTACTACTACTGCTGCTAGACTCCTCTAGAAAGCCACCATCTTCTCTAGCACCACCCTCTTGATCGTCTGTTCTTCGCTGCCTCCCACTCGACTCGGCGTCCTGTGGCTCCTCCCTCCTGAGACGAGCAGAGAACTCGATGGAACTGATGTCCAACTCCTCCAGCTTCCTTTTGCTGGATGGATTCCTTGGCGGGGGAATCCGAGCTGCCGCCATGAAGCTCTCCTGTGCCCTATCGGCAGTGAGAATCGCCGCCGCGGCTGCCGCGGCCGCCGCTACCCTACTGGAAGATTCATCAGAGGAGCAACTCACCTCCATGCTCGTTGGCGCCGCCGCCATGGATGGATCCCTGAAAGGCCCGCAAGAAACCATGGTCGCGTCGCGGATGTTCCTGAAGAGCCTCTGTAGCGACTGCACCAGGCCCGTCAGAACCATCTAATTTGACCTAGGCCATGATCTGGGACGATCGCGCACCCCCCGCGATCGCGCGATCGCAAGAACCCTAACAGCGATCGCTACGCGCAGATCCAGCGCCACTCACGGTGATGCCGCCCTCGCCATGGCGCGGATTATCGGCAGTAGCGATCGCCGCTCCACCGCCGAGGGCTAGATCGAGACCTCGCGCACGAAAACCAACACACAAGAAAAACAAAAAAAGAAAAAGAGAGAAAGAACAAAGCTCGACCGTACAGGGAATCCCCAAGAAGCCTCCGTACGAATATCCGGCCCTTTTGTAACGTTTTCTATACCGCGCGCTCCCGCCCGTTGGATGCCCGGCGCCATCCAACGGCGAAGATTTGTTAGTCCGAAATGGCATCTTCCCGCGAATATGCCCGTGGCATAAGTTACGTGGGCGAGCAAGAAAAGAGGCGAGGCGAGAAAAGAGAGGCCATTCTTCTCGCATTTTCCAGTTGGAGGCCCAAGACGAAGATTGTCACCAATTCACCTAACAAAATGCCCAGAAAAAACCAAAGAATTTCGCCGAGTCAAAGCTCATGACACCACCAAACCAATTCTCTCTTGTTATAAGCCACCACCATCTTGTTCCTCGATCCAAATCTCTTGATCCATCCGCGGCTTCCCTCGAATCCGTGCTCTCGCAAGCCACCACGATCGTCTTCCTTCTTTTAGAGGGAATCCTTCCTGTTTGAAGCCAGTCGACGCAAAGTGTCCAGTAAGCCAGAACCATCGTTTTCCTTTGATCGATCACCACCATCGTCTACCTTGATCGTCCACCACCATCGTCTTTTCCTTTGATCGATCACCAGCATCGTCTTTTCCTTTGATCGACCACCATCTTCCTTGATCTCCCGAGCCAGCTCTCCTTGATGCAACAAGCCGGAGTCACCGTCTTTCTTTGATCGACCACGCCCCTATAGTTGCTCGGTCTAATCTTTCCGGATCGTCTGCTCGAACTCATGGGAGACTACGCACCACCCGACTTCACCCCTGCTACCGGCGAGGATCACACCTTTACCAGCAAGCTTCCTCCTGCAACAGTTCCGGAGCTTACAATCCCTCAGTACGTTTTCCAAGGAGTAGAGAGTTACCTGGAGAGAGTAGCGATCGTGGACACCTCCGATGGCCGAGAGTACACGTACAGGCAGCTCAAGCGGCTGGTGGAGAACTCGGCCGCAGGAATGGTCCAGCACGGGCTCAAGAAAGGCGACGTTGTGCTTGTCATTCTTCCCAACATGGCCGAATACTTCATCGTGGTGCTCGGAGCCATGGCCGCCGGTGGAGTCTTCTCGGGTGTGAATCCAGCGTCTCCCTCGGTTGAGATCGAGAAGCAGGTCAGGGACTCCGAGGCCAAGATGGTGATCACGAACTTGGCCGGTTACGACAAAGTCTGCCATCTTAAGTTGCCGATCGTCGTCATTGGAGAGAATCCACCCCCGGAAGCGATTCCTCTTAGCTCCCTGTTCGAAGCTGACGGTCAGGCTGCTCTTCCATTTTCCACCAGTCCAGATGATCTCTGTGCTCTTCCTTACTCCTCTGGAACAACCGGCGTATCCAAGGGAGTGATGCTGACACACAGGAACATTCTATCAATCCTCAGCCAAACTCTCGCCGACTACGAGAGAATTCCACCCGAGATCCGTGAGGCCCTTCCACAGTACTGCGCTCTGGGACTGATGCCGTTCTTCCACATCTACGGTATCACTGGCATTGGCTGCTCTACCATGAGGCTCAAAGGGAAAGTTGTCGTCATGGAGCGGTACGAGCTGAGAAAGATGCTGGAGGCTCTCATCAAGTACGAAGTCCAGTTTGCTCCCTTGGTGCCACCGATTATCCTGTCCCTCGTGAAAAATCCCCTGGTCGACGAGTATGATCTCAGCAAGCTGAAGCTCAATGCCGTCATGACCGCAGCCGCACCGCTCGCACCAGAGCTCCAGCGAGCATTCGAAGCAAAGTTCCCAGGCGTCGAAATGAGACAGGTAATAATTCTGGTTCTCAAGATTCGTCTGAGCTTAGAACTCTGCAGGCGTATGGGTTGACGGAATATAGCTGTGTTACGCTCTCCCACTGCGCACCTGGACATGCGAGAGGCAACGCAAAAAAGGGATCAGTCGGATTCATCATACCAAACACGGAAATGAAGTTCATAGACCCGGACACGGGTAAATCCTTACCAGCGAACACTCCTGGAGAGATTTGCGTCCGCGGAGGAGCTGTAATGAAAGGTAAAAAAAAAAAACTGAGCTGTGTGCGTCGTCTCTAACTCATTATAGGAGGAAAACAGGCTATTATAAAAATCCAGATGCAACAAGAAGCACAGTCGATGACGAGGGCTGGCTACATACCGGAGACGTAGGATACATTGATGACGACGGTGACATTTTCATCGTTGACAGAGTAAAAGAGCTGATCAAATATAAAGGCTTTCAGGTGAGAGCGGGTTTTCAGAAAGAGAGGAACTTATGCTGTCTTGTTCACGTAGGTTCCACCAGCGGAGCTGGAAGCAATTCTAATATCTCATCCTCTCATCGAAGACGTGGCTGTCATACCGTAAGTTAAACACACTGTGATAATGTGAAAACCAGATGCACTCACTGTGAATTACAGATTCCCGGATGAAGCTGCTGGAGAGATTCCTGTGGCATGCATCGTGAGGAAGCAAGGAAGCGATCTCTCGCAGGAAGAAATCTTTGATTTTGTCTCGTCCAAGGTAACTCTCTCTGCAGCAGCAAGAAAGATTTGTCAATCAATCCAAATAAACGTTTAACACCACACTACCTTTTTGCTCGTACAGGTTGCAGCTTACAAAAAGATACGAAGGATTGAATTCGTGTCAGAAATCCCCAAGTCACCAGCCGGGAAGACCATGCGCCGGCTGCTTCGCGACAGTCTCTTGAAACACAAAACCTTGAGTAAATCAAGCTAGCTTCCTCCGGTAGTCCTGTAAAGAATGCAAAATAACGTTGAGCTCACAGATGTCAAGCCAAACGTCTTGTTTCATCAAACAAAGAACCTGGCTTTCAATTTTCTACGGCGTCGCCATCTCTGTCCTCGCCTTCCGCTGAAAGGCTTTGGAACGCGCTTTGAAACTGATGTATTCGCTGGAGCTCGTCTGCCTCTGCGTCTGCCGCAACTGCTTCGGCTTGTAGACTCTCCGCCTCCTCGATGTCATCGAGCTCGATCGCCACGTTTCTTTCGTTTCTGGCAGCCACAGCAACCAGCCTCAGCCTTTCACAACACGCCTGCGCTGCCTCCCTTTCCTTGACGGCTATCAAGCCTTCGATGTTTGAGAGAGAAACAATCTTGGTCTCTATACGCTCCTCGACTTGCTGCAGCTCCGAGCTGCATTTTTGTAGTTCCTCTGTGACAGCTTCCTGCTCTGCCCGGAATGCTTTGGCCTCAGCTGAAAGTCTAGCTGCCTCTTTAAATTTGCGTGTAGCTGCCGCAAGCCTTTTCTCAGCTTCCAGCGCGGGGCCACGTTTCTCGTGATGTGCCAGCTTTTGCTTTGCGGCGCGGATGTCTTCTTGTAATTTCATTTTCGTTGCTGACAACTCCTGCATAATGCAAGCGTCAAGGTGATTGGCGAAAGAGGAAAAAAATAAAAAAATATCGTTACAAACCTGTAGCGACGCTCGCGCCTCCGATGCTTGTTGCCTTAGTGCCTGAGAATCCGCTAGAAGTTCTTCTTCTTTCCTAACAAGATCCCCCTTTTTCTCCTTAATTTCCCTGGACAGCTTAGCTGCTTTCCGCCACCTTCCAAGTTCTTCTTGCAAAAATATAGCCCGCTCTTGCGCAGCTTCTGCCGTGGTCTTTAGACATTCTCCCTCTGCCTCGGCCATAGTCAAGCTTTCCTCCACATCCTTCCGTGCAGATTGTATACCAGCTGAAACCGTGTCAAGCGCCTCCAAAGAGCTCGTGACTCTCGACAAATCCGTCTCTATACTGAGTTGCTTCTCTTCGAAAGTCGCAGCCACAGCAGCAATTTTCAGATCGATTTCTTTGATGAGATTGTCGCGCCTGGCAATTTCGGACTCTTTGTCTTTCACCTTTCTGAGTAGATCTTCGAGCTCTTCAACAAGCACTTGACGCTCTGCTAAATGGCCAGTTTTGTCACGGACATCTGGTTCAACGGCTTCGTCAATCGTCCTGTTGAGTTCGACCTTGGCTTCTTCCAATGCTCGCAGTTCGAGCAAATATTGAGTACTTTTCATGTCCAGCTCCTCTTCTTTGGAGGTCAGACTTTCCATTTCCAACCTAGCAGTTTCTGATGCTTCCATTTCCACCTTTTCTGCTGCGGCTTGTGCCTCCTGAAAAAAAAAAACCAAGAAAACATGTCAGAAAAGAAGGCTAGGATGAAAAACGACATTATCTGCAAACCTTTTGGAATTCTGCAAGTGCTGCGGCTCCTTCTTCTTCTATACTGATTTTCAGTGATACTATCGTCTCCATTTCCACTGCAGCCAGATCATATTTTGAATCAGCCTCTTTGAAAGCCACGTCTGCCAACTCTAGCGACTTCTCAGCATCTGAAACCTCCTGGCTCAATCTATCAGCCAGATCAAAGTCTTCTCTCTCGCACGCACTTTCAAGCTCAACTTCCAACGCCTTCCGCTTTGCTGTGGTCGAAGATAGCTCCTCCGCAGCTCTTCTCCGTACCTGTGCCGCCATTTTTCTTGAAGACGACGCTTCAGCAGCTTTGGCTTCAAGGTCTCGTAATTTTCTCGCAATGTCCTCCTGAATTGCCTCAAGCCTCCTTCGCATAGCCAAAGTCACCGTGCTACTTTTCGGATCGTTTGTATCAACGTTGTCTTCCACTTCTGGTGCTGTTTCCACCACCCTTGCGGCCTCCACGAGAACAACAGTCTTAGACTCTTCAACCGAGGCATGCAAAGTTTTCTCCTCTTTCTCATCGCCAGCTTTCGTGATTTCCCTCGCAATTTCACTGTCCTCCTTGGGAAAAACTTGTGTATCCTCCTTGAAAACTTTCGTGTCGTCGGCCAGTCCATCTTCGATCTCCAACTCCATTTCCTGCTGCGAGAACTCTGAGGCGCTCACCGAGACTCCATCGCTCTCTGGAAAGCTCGTCCCAAGCTCTACAACCTCGGAAGCGTGCACGAGCTTCTTGATCTCTGCCTGGTCACTGAAAACCATTTCTCTATCTTCTCCATCTTCGTTGTCTCTACCATACCCGATCCTAAGACTCTTCTTTTTCTTCCTGCCAGCACCACCTCTTGAAGAGATCGAGATCGTACTCGTACTAGTAGCTTTGGTTCCTGCGCTTGGAGCACTGTCATAGGCAGCCAGGATAGTGTCGAAGCTCTTCCTTCCCATGCATGAAGGATCCGAGAGAGAAATCCTTGCCTCGCCATTCCCCGAAGAATCCGCAGCCTCTTGACTCGATGAGATCGATAGCATGCTCATTCCAGTGAATAGATCCTCGTCCAAAGCCCCTCTAGAACTGCTCTCCACAGGCGGAGGAGGAGCCTCCGCCACAGCACTGACTGGCGGCGATGGCTCCCTTTCTCCATCTTGCTCCGGAGCTACAGACAGCACGAAATCCATGCCTTCGAACAGCGATTCTTCCATATTTCTCGGAATGCCGATGCCGCTGCCACAATCCCTCAAAAGAAGCCCCCGATCTGATCTAAAACCTAGCCCATCGCTGCCGCAGCAAGAAATCTACCTGTGCGAGCATCAGCGTCCGCTTCTATCGCGATTTCGATCGATCGATTTCGGTCGATCCTTCGCCGGCGCCACGCGCCAGGGCAGCTCCGGAATGAAACAAATGAAAGAAAAATATTCCATCGGCACCTAGAGCATATTCATATAAAGATGATGTTACTATGTACATACTTGAAAGCGTTCTTTTCTTTTTATTCCTTCACCTAATCATGCCACTGGTGTTTGCTCCTCCTAAATTCGCGCCATCCAAATTCTACACACACAAGGAAGAGCGCGATTAAACTTTTTTCGATCGCAAAGATCGTCACATCGTCTTACAGTTCCTCGAAGATCAGCATGAGCCAAGTACGCTCGCTGGAGATTTGCTGAGCGAAGATCGGCTCCATTCAATCTTGCTCCCTGGAAACAAAAGTTCTCGCTCGCATGGAGACGAAGCCAAGGAAAATACCTTAAGATTTGCTCCTTCCAAGTTCGCCTTGGCGAAATTGGCATTTGAGAGGTCAGCATTCTGGAATCAACAAAAGTTTTGGCTTAGTACCGCAAGAACGATTAACGAGAGGCCACCTGTAAGTGTGCAGTGCGAAGATCAGCACCAAGAAGACTGCAGTCCGCCAAGCAAGCATCTGGCAATCCAACCACGTAGAAACCAGTCAGAAAACTTTCCTTTTGCTTGAAAAACTAAGAACTTGAGACCTTGCATGTTGGCACTTTGAAGATTAGCACCCGAGAGAACTGAACCACGGAGGCACGCTCCAACAAATACAGACCTGTGATCGCCAAAAGCCAGCTTAAAGCAAAAAGAAAAAAGAAAAAAATCGAAACATACTCTCGAAGTATGGCGTTATGGAAGTTGGCGTAATCGGCTGCCGAATCCTGCAATCTGGCCTCGTCAAGTAAGATGGACTTACGAAGACTGATGAACAAACCCGAAAATTCGCCGAGTGTAAGTTGGCTCGACTAAAAAATGTGCTTATGAGCCGTCCATTGCTAAAATCCACTCCTGACAGATCCTGAAACAGCGATCTTAAGCCTGCTTAAGCGTCTGGGGGAAAAAACACCGTACCAGTTTCGAGAGATTTTGGCCGGAAAGATTCACACCACGTAGTCGAACTCGTTTGGTTTGCAAGCATTTAATCACTTCCTTTCTCGTCAACTCGGCAGTGTCTTCGTCGTCTTCATCCTTTTTATTTGACACTGCGGTTAGAGCTTCAATCAAACCCTGCCAAAGAGAAAAGAAAAGCCGTTATTTCTGAAAAGCAAAAGCAAAGCTTACAAAGCTTACACTCAGTTGATAGTACTCGGCCTCGCGTAGAAGCTCCTGGACGGAGGAAGTGTCCAAGGCTGGAGTTACACCATCACGAAGGTAATTCAATATGTGTCGAAAATGAGTTCCATCTCTGTCAATAAACACTGATCCCTGCTAACATCCATTTTGACATGCAACAAACAAACAACAAAGATCATGAAACTCCTACTCTGGCACGCATCAAAAGCTATTTAATCCCTTTCTCTTTTCCTCCCTCTTGAGCAAACAAAACGAAACAAAAGAAAAAGAAGAAAAACCAAGCGCGCTTGCCTTGTTTGCATCAATGTGGAGCCGGTGCCGCCCGCTAAACATAATCGCAAGCATAGATCCAGTGTCCCGATGCGTTAGCGTGTCCACTGTGGTAGTAAACTGCATCCCTCCTGGCATCCCATCGCCCGAAATATCAGCAACCAGCGGCGATCTCTCCAAAATCTAGCGTCCTAGGGCCGAAACATACCGACATTGAGATGAACGATCGATGGAACACCCGGTGCCGGCTCCTGGAGATCCCGCATTTGCGAATCGAGATCTTGCGGCGGCGGCGACGGCTTGCCCTCTCCGATCGCCAGCCTCCACGCGGCCTCCTCGTCCCGGGCCACACAGGAATCGTCCACAGACACATCCCCATCGCTCTGGGAGGCCCCATCCTCTATCGCCATCCCCCTCCCTCCCCTAGGGATGAAAATGAAAATGCCCTTCTCCTAGTTTCTATTTAACTTCAAACCTAGCCCTAAATCCGTTAACTTTTAAAAGGGTGGTCTTTCTTTATTACCATTAATAAGATAGAGCTTTACAGCTAAACCCGATTACTTTACAAAATTAGCTTAGTTCCTTCTCGGCACCACTCTATAATGTATGTCTACGTAGCTCTCTACGTCCCACAAGTAGCTCCCAAACGCCGCCGCCTCCATCACCAGCGCTCTCAAGCTCGCGAATTTGATCTGGATTGCATCGTCTCGCGCAAGACCCACGCTGCCATCCGCCGCCACTCGCAAATCCGGCCTCCCAAACAGCGCCTCGGCGTGCCTCTCGATCAAATCCACCGTCTCGTGCGTCCTCATCGTCGCGTATCTCGACAGCGTCTCGTGATCAAACTTGGCAACATACGCTCGCAGATCGTTGTTCTTGAGCGCCACCTGCGATGGCGATCGCGAGGAGGAGCTCACCAGATCGAGCTCGCTCGCTGCTGCTGCTGCCTGGATCATCTCGGAGCTCTCCCGCTTCTCGATGCTCAAGAACTGGGTGGTGAATCCCCGCCCCGACTCCGCCACCCTCGTCAGGATCTTCATCTTCTTCTCCAGCTGGTAGCGCTCGTCGACGCGCTTGAGGAAGTAGCCATACATGACCGACGTCGCGTAGATCTGCCCGACTCGGAGCTTGCTGATCTGCGCCACCGTGTGTGGCTCCACTCGGCTCAGCGTCGCGTGTCCGCCGAGAACCATCTCCATGTGTTCCTTGATCATCTCGAACGCCTCCGGCGAGTGGACGCTCTCGAGATCCTTCTCTTGGATCGGCCAGGAGCAAGCGCTTCCTCCTTCTCGGTTGACGAGCGCCGAGATCTTTGGAACCATCTTGATCCCGGCCTTGAGGAACTTCTCCACGACGAGGACGTAGATCACTTCCTGGACTGCTCGTCGCCGCTCCTCGGACTTGAGCTGCGCGATCCTCCTGTTCCAATCCAAAGCTCGTCAACTCCAAGGATGATCATCGCGGAAGAACAAGAAAAGTTCTTACTTGTAGAGGATGTGATCGTTGCCGGCTGGATTTGGCTGCTCCAGCGCGCTCCTCCTCTCCAAATCGAGTAGCTCGAGCTGCTGCTCGGCCGCGGCGTGGAAGAGGTGTGGATTTCCCTTGAGCGTTTGCATCAAGAACTGGCCGGCGGGAGAGCCTGGCTCCAGCGGCGCGATTGGCCTGTCCGCGACAAGAGCTTCCGCGATCTCGATGGCCCTCTGATGCGAATCCTCGTCGGAGGAGCTCGCCGTGGCGCCGCCTTCCTCTCCACACGATCGAGCCGCCCACACCGATTTCTTGGATGAGAAAAGCATCGTTGGCGGCGAGGAGGAATCTGGCAGCCAGGTCGCCTTTGGGATGGAATTCCCACTCCCCACTGGGAAATCTCGTCCCTGAGCTCCATTCTTGCAAGAACGAGCAAAACTTGGTACCTTTCTTCCTGTCATGAAGCAGCTCGAGGGGGATGCCAGCGACCAGAGGGCAATCGATCCTCCCTCCAGCGAGAGCGAGGAAGAAATCTTTCCAGTGGCAGCGTGGCGAGGCCGGCAGATTGACGCCGCAGCTTCCAGATTCATCGCTTCCCTACAGTGATCTCGCGACTGGAATTCCTGAAGAACTCAACCTCTCAAGATCGATGCATTGCGAATCCACTGAAAGCCTGCGCTAGCCGATTATCGGCGGCTCATCGCGGCGCCGCTCATCCTCGTCCTCGCGCTCACACGCCGCCACCGCCATCTTCTTAGCCCACACACCCGAAACGGACGGCTAGGACACCCTCCTGCCAGGACGAGATCGTGGCCGTCGAGTACGCACAGATAAGCCGACCACGCGTCCCAGAGCATATTCCCCGGACAAAAGATAAGCTTCTGGAAAAAAGAAAAATCTCCTCTACTACACAACACTATCCCCCCAGACTTCTTCGTCGCTGATAACGTTCACTTCTACAGTCGATCGTCCCGATGGAATCTGGAAGAATTAAAAAAGGATATGGTTTTTGATCGCAACAAGAGCTTAGCTTTTGATCGATTAAAAGCTTACCGGACAAATGCAGCTTCTTACAAGATTTCCTCGATTTGCCTCGGCTCGGTATCCAGCCTGAAAAGAGCGAGAGAATTAAAAAAACGAAGTTTTTTACTTCAGTCGAGAACTCGAAAAGATCAAACTTGCCTCTTGTGCGCCTCCGACCACGTCCAGCTCGCAGTGGCAGCAAGTTCCTTCGAAGCAAAAGTCCTGGAGGCCGAGAAATGAGACTCGATTCAAGCAAAACGTTTTGAGTGGAGAGCTTACATCATTTGGAACAAGAACACCACAACGCTCGGCCACTTTCAGCAGGTTCTCGCCAGAGTTCGCAGTCACAGTCACCTGAGCAAGCAAGAATAAAAGAAAGTAAAAATGAAAACCATATCTTCGATTGAAGAGCAGATCACTCACATTGTCTCCACTGCCAGTGTTGAATCTCACCTCCACTTTCTCGGCCGACTTGTCGCTGTGCAAAAATGTTAGTTTTCTTAAGTGATGCTAAAACTTTAGAACTTCACCTCTCACCACTCCAATAATATGTTCCTGGAACAGCACTCTCTTTGAATCGTTCTTCCCCAACAGTTCCTCTTTTGAGATTGGCATCCCTGTCTAGAGCACCGATTGAGACAACCCTGGAGGAAAAATGGAAAAGCGACGAACTTACCAGAGATCAGTGAGGAAGAGGACGCTAGTGCACAAGGAACTCGAGCAGCTCTGATGGGCAAATGGGAAATGGAATTCCAGCGTAGAGTTCCAGGAAGTGCCACCACTCCAAGGCAGGAGCAGGCCATTCTTCTACCACTGCTGCTCTTACTTCTTAGGTAATTACGCTCCGTTCCAGTAAAAGATCTCCATTTTTGTTGCGGGCCTGTCGGATGAGATGACTCATTCTATCGAATTTGCAGCTCCTTTGCTCTGCTCGAGACGCTCTTCCGGGGTGGCGCGATTGAACTGCTGCTGCTCCTCGCAATTCTCACCAGTTCCAGCAGCACAAAATGGTAGGAGGGCTTTCGTCTTGAGTTCTGGATTGGTAGCTGGACTCTTCACTTCCGTCACCGAAGGTAGAGAAAACTTCGTCTCGGTCTGGATTGGGCTGACAAGTGAATGGCTGCTTCTCGTCCATCCAGATGCTCGAGCGGGCCTGGAGAAATACATGAAAAAGTAAGTTTTTCTTGGAGCTTACATAAAACTGTGAAGGAATTTCAGTACAAACCATTCCACAGAAAGAAGCTGGATCCACTAGAGACTTATATCCCAGGTATCATCCTGTGCCAATCGCAGTTTCAGGAGCTCGGTAAGCCTGTCAAGAGAAAATACTTTCTTTGAAAGAAGCAAACGAACCTTACGTTGATGACGCTGGAAGTAGAAGCCAAACTTGGAGGCGAGAAGGTCGAGTATCAAGACGCACGGTCCCTTCTTCGTTCCGGACCAGCAGGATCCCTCAGGAGCAACATTCGTGCTGTAAAAATCGATCCTTCTTTTTCATTTGTTCTTAAGTTTATCTGAGTCTCAGGTCGCGGAGTACGCATCGGAATCGGGAGATGGAGCAGCTGCCGCAGACGCTGTAAAGCTGTGCTTGAGGTAAGTACAAGTGAAGAGAAAAGTTTAATTACCTCGCTCGCTCCCAGATCTTTGGAGGACTTGGACTCACTGCTCTTGAGAAGATCTCGAGATGACACCTCCATCACTGTCGATTCCATGAAAGCCAAGCTTGGAACTTCCATGCAAGCCTTGGACAGGTACCCTGTAGCGTAGTGAAAAAACAAACAAGACCAAACAATATCCTGTGTTCCTCTCAGGCTTCTCCAAACAGTTCCACAGCCCATTCTCGAGCAAGGCAAAGCGGCTGCCATGGCCTTCTTGGACGACACCCCGGAAGTTGTGACCGACGACGTCGACATAAAAAGCTTGGAAGATCTCATAACCACAACAAAATAGCTCTGATCAATCAAAGTTTCTATCCAAAGTCCATAAAACCAAACGAAAGACCAAGAACAGACTCTCCATCATCTCCTGGGAACAAGCTTTTTCAGAAGCTCGGGACTGGGGAAACGATCCTCTTCAATGTAGTAGTGATTCCCCCTGGCGAAGAACGTAACAAGAGGCTTGTTCGTGTCGGGAGGATGGACATCGCTAAGCTGGATCTTCCGCTCGACGCGTCGAGCCAAGACGTCGAGCGTCTCAATGGCGACCTCTTTGGAACCGGGCTTCCATGAAAGCTTGCGAACATAAGGACCAGCGTACCAATGCAAGCCAGCAGTAGTGAGAGCGCTAAGCATCATCATCATGGAAGCTATGGAGGACTTTGCAACGACGGAGACCTCGGGATATGTGTGGAACGCTAGCACGGGAGCGCCGAGAGAGGAGAAGACGAAGGAGGTGAAAGAGAGGATTTTCACTCGCCTCAGTGTGCCGGCCATGGCGCCCTCGTACACAACCTCCGGCTTGGAAGCCGCCGCCGCCGCCGCTACCTTCCCCTGCTTGAGATCTTCGCGAAGAGCTGGCTGAGAAGCCCATCGCTGGTGCTCCAGCCGCGCTAGCCGGAGCGCAAAACCTAGAAATCGATCCAAATCAGTCGATCACAGGGAAAATGTGGACGATCTCACCTTGGCGCCGGAGAGCCGCGGCAGCCATAGCCCGTAAAAACCCTAAACCCTAGTTCTTGAGCAAATGTATGTTCTTATAATGCTTCTTCCATGGCCCTTCGTCTCCACCTCCTGGCCAAGCTTGTGCGTCACTGTGGAAGCGAGCGAGATCTTTGCAGTGGGCGGCGCATCCATCTCCAAATCATCGCAAGCCAGTACCGCGATAGCATCTATCTCTCCAATCTCCTCATTGACATGTACTCCAAGTGCCTCAGCCTTGACGAAGCCGAGCGCGTCTTCCAATCCATCAAAACCCCCAACGTTTTCTCCTGGAACATCCTCATGGCCGCCTACTCGCAGCACGGCCTCCTCCAAGACGCCATCGCCGTGTTCCTGGACATGACCCAGCGGGACGTGGTGTCCTGGAACCAGATCCTCGCAGCGCATACCCAAACAGGAGATCTCGATCGAGCCCAATCCATCTTCCAGAGAATGCCCCATCGCGATCTGGTATCTTGGAACACCCTGATCGCGGGACTGGCGGAGTCTGGATTTGCGGCCACGGCGAAAGAGCTGCTGGATTCATCCCCGGAGCACGACTGCCTCACGCACAACCCCATGATCCAGGCATTTGCCCTCTCTGGGCAAATCCAAGAGGCCCGGGAGCTCTTCGAGGGATTGCTGGAGCGCAATGACGTTTCCTGGAACTCGATGATCGCGGCCTACACCGCGAATGGTCTTGCCGACGAAGCGAGGATGATCTTCGAGAGAATGCCGCTGTGGGACATCGTTTCTTGGACCGCCATGGTCACCGCCGCTGCTCAAGCCGGGGAGATCGACGAAGCCAGGAAGATCTTCGACGCCATGCCGCAGAGAAATATCATCTCCTGGAACGCGATGATCCAAGCCTACGCTCAAGGCGGCCGGGCAAAGGAAGCGCGATCGATATTCACCGCCATGGAGGAGGAGCAACCGCGATCGCGGTCCATCCTGGCCTGGAATTCGCTGCTTCTGGCCTACTCCTTCGGTAATCTGGATCAAGCCTCCTCGATCTTCCACCGGATGAGCGCCTGGAACATGGCATCGCTCAACACGATGCTGGCAATCTTCGCTCAAAACGGACACATCCAAGAAGCGCGAGAGATGTTCTTGGATCTGCCAGAGAAGGACGTAATATCCGGCAACACGATGATCAACGCGTGCCTGGAGCAGCGAAATCCCCAAGAAGCGAGGGAGATCTTCGAAAGAATGGAGCGGCGCGACGTGATCACCTGGACGGCAGTGATCGCGAGCTACGCCTCCGGCGGCAGCGTCGGCCAAGCCAAGGCCCTGTTCGATTCAATCCCTAGCCGCAACGCCGTGACCTGCAACGTGATGATCCAGGCGCACGCCGAGCAAGGACAGCTAGATCGAGCAGCGCAAATCTTCTCCACAGTCCCGGATCCGAGCACTCTCTCCTGGAACGCGATCATCCACGCCTACGCGCGCAATGCCCACAGCGAAAGAGCCCTAGAGCTCTTGGCGGGAATGGCCCAGTACGGAACGCGCCCAAACTGGGTCACATTAGTGGGCCTCTTGTACGGCTGTAGCCACGCCGGGAAGGTGCCCGAGGGGGTGTCGTGCTTTCGATTGATCGAGGAGCTCACAGCGGCGCCGCCAACGCTGGATCACTTCGTGTGCGCGATCGATCTGTTTGGGCGATCCAAGCGCCTGGACGAGGCGGAGGATTTGCTCGACAATATGCCCTTCAAGGAGGACGTGGTAGCTTGCACGACGCTGCTGGGCGCATGCCAAATCCATGGCGATGCGGAGAGGGGGACTCGCATCGCGCGGCGTGTGGTGGAGTTCCAGCAGGACGAGGCCTGCCCGTACGTGCTTCTCTCTAGCGCCTACATTGCTAACAGAGGAAGATTATAAACATGGTCGGCAAAGATCATTCGCTACTTGCAGTAGAGATTGACTATAGATCTTCTCACAACCAGTTTTGGAGAAGTGTGGATACCAGAATACACCACAATCAGCTAGACATTTCTCACTTCGATTTTGAATTTGCTATAGGACAACATTGTCCTGTGTTTGGTGACTCGGAAATCACATCTCTTGTGAGCTGTTTTTTGTGCCGTATTTTGCAATATGGTCAAGAGGATAAAGGGATATTGTCATTTCCGAAAAACTAGTTTCTCAAATTCAACCTTGTAGGAGGAGCACATCACAAATGTCTAGACAAAATAAAACTGAGCCAACAAGAACAAGAATAACAGATCTGTTAAAAGTAGTCTCACATGGTTTCAAGCTCTAGAAGGAAAAAAAATAATTCAACCATAAAAATGCAAATCACTACAATGGCACAAGATTGCAATGCTGAAAAGACTGAGAGCTTTAGCCAACAGTTAGCCCCTCTATTTAGCATAGGAGGTTGCTTGGTGTGCTAAGTAGAGGGGCACTGTTGTTTGGTGTGCTAAGTAGAGACTTCCTGTAAAACAACATGTTGTTTCACTCCCTCTCCACTTATGTGGAGGTGCACCTCCTTTTTGTATTTTCTGCCCCTCTCCCATCTGTTGCCACCCTGCCCTCCTGCCCACAACTATCACCCGAGATCAGCCATTGGAGACAATGAATTGAGCATGTCTCTGTGAGCATATCAGTTTGATATCATACTAATTGACCTAAAAAATTTCACATGATCAACTATTCCAGACTATTTCAACAAACAATCCCTTTATTGTTCATTTCCCATATATTCCTAACATTCCTTTTCCGAATGTTTAATATAATATCACTGGCTTAATTCTTTCAACCAGTTTTTAGTTGGACTGTGCTAGTTTTATAACTATAAAACTTGATATTTAGTGATAACTTAATAATTAATTAATTAATTAACACTAAGTCAATCTATTTTACTAATCATGAGCTTTTTATGCAAAAACCAATGTTGTTTATATGAATCATTATAAATTTGAAAAATTGTATAACAAAATATATACCATTCAATAATAGTTTCATATGCATAAGCTATATTATCTTGATTATAAATTATAAAAGTATTATAGTTTGTTGGTAAATCTGTTAGCACTTAAAGTAGATTGTTGGATGAAAAAAATATGAAACTAAGGCATTGATGCTATACTTGCTATCGAAAAAGGAAATCATCATATAAAAGGATGTTAGGATTTTCTACTTTAAATTTGATCAAGCTTTATTTTTTCATCATTTAGAATTTGAATACCAAGATTATTATTTACAAATTTGCAATGAATGTTTAAGTTTGGACCTACTTTATTGTATATGCTGATATATTTTTTATCACATAATATGATAAATATAAAAAGAAATGAAATATATATGAAGTAATGAAAATGAGATAAAAAATTTCTATCTATAAGAGAATTTATATATCATTTAAAAATAGACACTATTTATATATTGATAATATTTGTCATTTAAAAATCTAAAATTATATTTATTTTAAAAATATTGGTTCTTTTATTGAATTTTACTCTTTTATAAAAGAAAATATAAGCTTTAGCTAGCAAATGGATACCAAAAATAATTTTTTTGTTTGATTTGATTAAGAATAAATTAAATACAATTTTAATTAATGTATTATTTAAAGAGTAAATGGTATTCTATTATTATTATTATTATTATTATGAAATTTGTTATGTATAAGGATTTATATATATTATAAAGATACAAATTAAATAATTTTCACAGAATGCAAGCAATTTGAGCTATTTAATTTATGATAAGCCTTCACTAATTCCATATCATTTATAACTTAGAAAAAAAGGCCTAAATGTTTTATGGATAAGATTTGATGGAAAAATTCATTATAGGTGAAAAAACATTTGTTTGTGATAAACATATAATTTGCTATATGTTATGTTGATTTTTTAATTTTTTTTTCTTGGTTGCTAGTGAGCTTGTTAAAGCTAAATGGTGAAGTTTACTGGTGTCAATTTGAAATGCAGAAACTACAAGCTACCACATTGTTTGAATTCAATGTTGTTTAAGATTGTTGTGTATTCACAAGATTAAAGTGTACATCATGAACATTTGCTTAGCATTTGGATGGGCTTATATAATGAACAACTTATAAACACTTCAAACAAAAATGTAATAAGGAGTCTTTCTACAATCAAGATCCACTTTCTTATTCACTCCAAGAGTTTACAGTACAAAGCCAACCAGTCTCAAGATGCCATATTACAAGTAGTAAAATCTAGATCAGAGATACAAAAAAGCTAAAGATTATATCTGCCGACTCTATTAAATTGTAAACAAAGACTGGTGCGCACGGAAAGTTGTATTCATGGATTTTATTTTTTCATTTCAAGGTTTACAGCAGTTTTTTCCTCTCGAAAAACACTTTCATGTGTAACGATTGGAAGACCGCTACCAGCAAGCAAAAAAGCAAGGACAGTGCACCGAGCACGACTATCCTTGTGTTCGTGGACTCGTTAAAAGCGCGCATCTCTTGTTCCCTGCCATGACAATTTCTCACAATCGATTAAACGAAGCTGCGAAACAAACGTTATCACTTACTTCTCTCGCAAGAAGAGCATCTCTTCGTGAATGGAATCCACTAGCTCTTCTATCTTTCGAAGCTCCAGCTCCACTCCCTGGAACACATCCAAGTATTGTCATGGTTCTACATTTGATACGAAACAAAAAGGTAAATAGCTTACATCGATGTGCTCGCGCTTGGCAATGTTTCCCCAGTCTTTAGCGGCAACACCAGTCTTCCAGTCGAGATCGACCGCAACCACGGCTTCCTTGGCGTCCACATTCTCGAGCCAGAAGCAAGCAACGTAAACTCCCGTTGTGCTTGCTTTGAAACCAAACTGTCCCTTGTCAACTCCCTCGGCCAGATGGAGCGTGTATCCATCTGGATCAGACAGCTATGGAAACAAAATAAGAAGATGAGATGACCCAAGTTTGATCGTCTATCCATCACAGTTATTCCAATTACGCACCAAGGAAAGACATTGAATTGGAAACGTAAGCTAGATCTATCTCTCCAGTTGACCAAGCAAACACGCAGCAAATTTCTCCGGAGCTAAATCCGTCTAGAGTCTAGACAGCTTACCCGGGCGTGGATTTTGTGGATCGCCGGCTTGTCGAGCTCCTTGGGATCGGTAACGCGATATTCGCCCAACACCAGCGCGCCAGAGTGGAGCTCCTCGTTCATGCACTTTGTGCGCTCCTTGTGGATCTCGAAGCTGAGCGATCGCGCGGGCGACACGCAGAGGAGCAGTGAGATCACAAGGACGGAGAGCGCGGCCGACAGCGCCTTGGCCATCGCCGGAGAGACTGCGGTAGACCTAAAATATAGCTAAGGGCTGATTTGACTATAAAAGAGAGTGGGCAAAAGGGGTAAAAGATACACAAGTTTCTCTTGATCGATCGATCGCTCGCTCGATCGCGCTCGAAATCCTCGATCGCAATGGCGGTAAGGCTCGGATTCTCTCGCTTCTTGGTGCTTCTTTCGCTGGCGGCGACGGCCATGGCGGCGTGTAACTTCACAGCCGCGCAATCGTGCGTCTCCAAGCCATCACTCAATCTCCTCTTCTACTGTCACGTCCCTCTCTCCAATGCCAGCGCCGCGCAGCTCCAATCCGACTCTGCCCCGCTGCTCGGATCTTCCAATCCGGCCGCGATGGGCGCTGGCAGGGTTTTCGATTACAAATGCACGCCCACGCCAGATCCATCCACACCGCCCTACTGCCGCGCCCGCGGCGTCTCCTTCGAGGATTCTCGCAATGGCACCCAGATCATGGTGAGCGCAATCGCGATGGCGGGCGCGCCGGGCACGAATTCTACCAACAGCACGACGACGATCAGGCCGCGGGGATCGATGAGCGTGGCGGGTGAGATCCTTGGCAGCGGGAACTACAGCACGAGCGCGGCGGTGGTGGGCGGCGTGGGGGATTTCCTGGCGGCCGCTGGCGAGATCAACATCTCCACGTACAATGTATCGGGCGATGGTACGGACATGGTGCTCAAATTTATGGCCAGGGTCGTCTTCCCGCTCTACATTTGAATAGATTTACCCGATTAAATAAACTAATTTATTTTCTAGGTTTACCCCTTTTATTTAGGGCCAATACCTCATAACTATAAATTTAAAGATTATTGCAGTATGATTCAACAATCACTATTCCTAAAATATTAGTTATAATTATTAGTTAATCATAAAAATAAAAATAGAAATTGAATTGACCTTTGTTCAATATATATGTATAATATATTAGTTAAAGTTTGTGTAGTACAATGAATCATTTGAACTATAAATATTCAATCTGAATCATATTCAATTACTCCAAATTTTATATTCTTCTACCATAATTATATTTTTTCTTATATATATTTCTATTAAGTGCATATGAGGTAATCCCCCTCCATGGCTATGACACACTTTATTAACCTTGTGTATATAACTAAAAAGAACAACTTGAGAGACAATCCATATTCAAATATATGTTGCGAATGTGACTTTGGGTATCGAAAGTTATCTGTCGGCTAGTCTTTTCAGATATTCTTTCTTTACTACCATGACGGTAGAAAGTCAGTATTGCTAGATCTGTTATCAGTTCCCACTTGAGTTAATTGAAAAACTAGTAAATGAATATGTACTTAAATTGGATAAACATAAAGTAGGAACCTTATGTTTTTTTTGTTGAGCATACTTGGCCTGGTTTGAGAAACTTGTGTGATTGGCTTGCACTTGCTAGTGTCAAGAACCCCCACAATATTGAGTTTGGTCCCTTAATATCGCTAGATGATAGCTTACCGTGTCTACCAAACACCCTCGCTATCATGCCTTTTGTGTTAGTCTCATTTCGGTCCCAAATGCTATGCAGTGAAAGTGTCTAGATTTTCTCATTTAATACATTTATGAAATGTAGAGATTGTCTTAAATACAATAGTGTTCATCATGTATCCATTCCATATTTAATAAATTTTGAGCTTGTCCCAAAGACTAACTCTTGATACTAAAGGAGGCTTGGGGTGAAAGCCCAAAGCATGTGTTCCTCGGGGGGGGGGAAGGGGGGGGGGGGGGGGGGTATAAGGGGGTCCCAAATGATAAAAAGGATAGTGGGTAGGTTGAGCATGGCTGACTAACCTGAGGTATAGTCTAGCTCCTGCTTGCATGCCTATCCTTGTTCTGACTAACTGAGGGCATAGTTTAGCTCTTGCTTGCGTGCCTATCCTTGTTTTACGTTCGGCTTGGGTCTAAGTCCAAGTTCCATTCCATGCTAGCTGATGGAGTACCCATGTCCTTGCATTAGGCCATTGGTATGTGTAAGCTCCTGAGTTTAGACTTCTCGGAGGTCACCCAACCCAGTACTATTCAAATTCACAAATATCCCAAGACCCTTAACCGATTAAAAAAGGGGGTGCACTTTATTTATAAGCCTTTTCCCTTTATATTTGAACCCCTATAGATTGTCTCTTAAGTCGTTCTCTTTGGTTGCTTATAATCCACCACGCTTCCTTGCAAATTCACGCCCTCGTGAACGGAAATTGAGAGCTGCAGCTCTCTTAAGAGCCCTGCTCTCTTGACACCCTACCCCTTGGGTCGAGCCCAGCGGGAGCAAACTGGACTTGCCAAATGTCAATCAACATGTGGTGCGATTCCCTAACCAACCAACAAAGTCAAACTTGAGACCCTCTCTAATACAAAATGTAAGCTCCTGAGTTTGGACTTCCCGGGAGGTCACCCAGCCCAATACTATTCAAACTCAAGGACGCTTCCTTAATTGATTGGAAAAGGGGGTGCACTATTATTTATAGGCCCTTTCTCTTTATATTTAAACCCTTATAGATCATTTCTCAAGTCATTCTCTTTAGTTGCTTACAGTATGTTGAAATAATGCCAAATTCTGTTTAGCTCTATTTTGTGTGTTGGTCCTAGCATTGGGATGGTAGTTGCTCTAGGACTATTCCAAACTGCTCCGTACTTTTGTCCCTTCACTCCTTGGGCTGTATGCTCAAGAGTTGTTCCATGCTCTAGTGCTATTGCTCCTTGGCACCATGCTTGGGAGTTTGGCACCATTCCTTCATTCAGTGGCACAAGGCTCTAAATCTTGGATTCCACACCATTGTCCTTTGGACACATGGCATATGACACATGGCATATAGAGGATTTAGAGGGTTTAAATTCCGCTTCCATGTTTATCCTATGGTAAATCACCATAGGATAAAGGGTAAAAGCCACGTGCGCTACATATAAAAGGAAAGGGCTTATGAATAAAAATGCATCCTTTTTTCCAATTGGTTAAGGGTTTTGGGATACAGTGCTTAACATATAGTGCATATAGTGCTTGACATATATGGCATACAGTGCTTGACATTCTCTTTGATCTATGAAGAAAACTGATTAATTGTCCACCTCAAGTTGAGGACTCGGCAAACTTGCACTAGAAGGAGAGACATTTTTATATATCATTCTATGAAAAAATTGAATGCAATATCCAATCAAGTATAATTAGAAAAGCTTTAATGATTTACCAGCTTTGTCACCTTTGATGAACTAAGGCACCGACCACACTAGTCAACACATAAGTTGACTGTTTTGCCACTTTTGTAATTCTTGCAAAACAAGACTTTGATAGAACAAAAATGTTCTTTAAAAACACAGAGCAATCATGGCATTACATTTGGGACAAAACATTGTTTTAAGTCTTGATCTTTGCTATGTGTGTGTCAAAGATAATCAAATAAGATGGGAAAATGAGATACACAATGTGATATGATCTCATTTGACATGGCAGAAATAAAACTCTTGCACTGGATTCCTAAAATATCCTGCACTTGAAAGAATCATTGTATGGCTAAGCAAACCTAATAGCAAGCCATGGCAGCAAGTGTGATAGGTATGAAGCAAAGGGACAAACCCTAAAAATAGAGAGGGTTTCTCACCATTCTCCACCACTAACACAATCACCAAGAGCGCATCCACAAGCAAGACAAAGCTAGGCAGCAGCAAGGTTGTGTTCTCACTCAGCCCCACACTTTTACAGCCACCCATGCCAAGATCAATAGCTGCTTCATTGTGCATCACAAGAATGAGCAGCACACATGAAGTATAGTTCTAGGTCTTGTCCAAAACGAGCTATCACCTAGTACCAAGGTTATGAGGAGTCCCTCCACCGCATTCCTGTGTGATTAATTTGTGCTCCTGGTTCTGATTTACCCCCTGCCCATAGGAGGATCTCATCCTAATACCCACAACAGAGATATACAAGTTAGCACCGAATCTGCACAAGTAACTCTCATGGTACCAATTGTTCAAGTGTCTAACTCCTCCACACAAAAAAGGCGGGATGACAATGACTGGACCAGACAACGAGATTCATGAAGCAATGGAAAGCAATTATGTTGAGAACCTTCTTTAGAGTCCAGAGTTTTTGAAAGTCACTTCTGATGTGTGGCCCAGGCATGTACCTAAGTACATTGGCTAGCAAGCATCAACAATGCAAGTCTCATTTTCATTTTAAAGTCTAGTTTTATTTAGAAAAATGATTGGGCTAGCTGAGATTTCATTACTAATCTCATCTTTGATGATATAGGTAGCCCTTAGACAATCCTACGCCTCAGATGAATGTAACCGGAAATGGCCTAGTTGATCAACTTAACCAAACTTACTTTCATCAATTTCCACAATTCTTCCTAGACCACTAATTTGTTTACTACTTTGTTATAATGTGATATAAATATCACGACAAAAGCTGTACAAATTCATTTTTGTGTGCTTAATTTTAATACGACACTCAATACAAATTTGATCTTATGGTACTAGTTATGAGAGATCTTGTGGTATTGCAATTTTTACAATTCCACTTTAAACTAGCTTTATAATTTTGATTATCATATCGATATCTTATTGGTAATTCTCTTCTGGTATTTTAAGAATAATTTACATATTCCAATCTAACCATAATACTAAGAGAATGAATAAATAAGAAAGAAAATATAAGAAGGAACACAACAATGAGGAAAAACCTAAACCAAGCTTACTTTGTGCATTTTCCCAAGCTATCAAGTAAGCTCTATGCTTCTTGGAGCTGACCATTGTGAAAAGACAGTGATCATCACAGTCCATGACTTGAGAGGCATCCTCTCTCAAGCTTGATCCAAATCCCTCTCCTGCACGATGCTGGTCATGAGAGCTGTCCATAAGACAACATCTCTCTCATGCATGCTTTGGAAGAGCTCCTCGGCATTCATTTCCTTGAGCTCCACTGCAATTGAGTTCCAAGACACCACATTCCTCTATCAGTATCGTATCAAATGACACCTTGGATTCATTCAGATGCCCATGTTGGGCATACACTGTGACC